TTAGGGCAACAACAACAAAAAAGCCCTACTTACTAATCAACAAGAAGTAACTAATCACAAGCTTGACTGTGAAGTATAGAAATTAGTGGACCCTGGTAACTAAATTTAATTTCTGAACTGAGTATTGTTATGCTTTTATGGGAATTAATTCAACAAAAATTTATTGAGTCCACTCTGTGGTAGGCACTATAATAGGTGCTGGAAATCTAAAGATCAGTCTTAACTGAAAGAAGTTCAATCCAGTGTCAGAGAATGAGATTTAAATATATTTATTATTAATATAGTTAATACAGCTATAGAAACGTACAGGGGGACATTAAACCACAGGGGGAGTTGTATGGTCAGGCTAATCAGGCAAATAAGTAGGCAAAGGAGATGGGTCTTCCACATAGAGGGGACTGCATTTAAAAAGGTATTACACAATTGAAAAGGTATTACACAATATTGCTGGAGCAGAAGATGACTAGAAAAGTAAGCAATAGCAGGTTATAGGAGATAAGGACCTTAGCCTTTATCCTATAGGGGATAAGCCATCAAAGCGGTATTCTTCAGCACTTTAAAATGTCATTCTGTTCTTTTCTGGCCTCCAGTGTTTCTTCTTTTTTTTTTTTAATTTTATTTTATTATGTTATGTTAGTCGCCATACATTAGTTTTTGATGTACTGATCCACTATTATTGTTTGCGTATAACACCCCGTGCTCCATGCAGTACGTGCCCTCCTTAATACCCATCACCAGGCCAACCCATCCCCCCACCCCCTCCCTTCTAAAACCCTGTTTGTTTCTCAGAGCCCATAGTCTCTCATGGTTCATCTCTCCCTCTGATCTCCCCCCTTTCATTTTTCCCCTCCTCCTAATGTCCTCCATGCTATTCCTTACGTTCCACAAATAAGTGAAACCTTATGATAATTGACTTTCTCTGCTTGACTTATTTCACTTAGCATAATCTCCTCCAGTCCCATCCATATTGATGTACAAGTTGGGTATTCATCCTTCCTGATGGCTGAGTAATATTCCATTGTATATACGGACCACATCTTCTTTATCCATTCATCTGTTGAAGGGCATCTCGGCTCTTTCCACAGTTTGGCTATTGTGGACATTGCTGCTAGGAACACTGGGGTGCACATGGCCCTTCTTTTCACTACATGTCTTTGGGGTAAAGACAAAGACACTATGTGTCTTTGGGGTAAATACCCAGTAGTGCAATTGCTGGGTCATAAGGTAGCTCTATTTTTAATTTTCTGAGGCACCTCCACACTGTTTTCCAAAGTGGCCGTAACAACTTGCATTCCCATCAAGAGTGTAAGAGGGTTCCCCTTTCTCCACAACCTCTCCAACATTTGTTGTTTCTTGCCTTGTCAATTTTTGCCATTCTAACTGGTATAAGGTGGTATCTCAGTGTGGTTTTGATTTGAATTTCCCTGATGGCTAATGATGACGAACATTTTTTCATGTGTCTTGTTAGCCATTTGTATGTCTTCTTTGGACAAATGTCTGTTCATGTCTTCTGCCCATTTTTTGACTTGATTATTTGTTTTTTGGGTGTTGATTTTGAGAAGTTCTTTATAGATCATGGATACCAGCCCTTTATCTGTAGTGTCATTTGCAAATAACAAAGAGGGTTGCCTCTTTGTTTTGTTGACTGTTTCCTTTGCTGGGCAGCAGCTTTTTATCTTTTTTTTTTTTTTAAAGATTTTATTTATTTGAGAGAATGAGAGAGAGAGAGCACAAGGTGGGGGGGAAGAGGCAGAGGGAGAAGGAGACTCCCCGCTGAGCAGGGAGCCAGACATGGGACTCAATCCCAGGACTCCAGGATCATGACCTGAGCCGAAGGCAGTCGCTTAACCGACTGAGCCACCCAGGCACCCCAGAAGCTTTTTATCTTGATGAAGTCCCAAAAGTTCATTTTTGCTTTTGTTTCACTAGCCTTTGGAGATGTTATCTTGAAGGAAGTTGCTGTGGCCGATGTCAAAGAGTTTACTGCCTATGTTCTCCTCTAGGATTTTGATGGATTCCTGTCTCACATTGAGGTCTTTCATCCATTTTGAGTTTATCTTTGTGTATGGTGTTAGAGAATGGTCGAGTTCTATTCTTCTGCATGTGGCTGTCCAATTTTCCCAGCACCATTTATTGAAGAGACTGTCTTTTTTCCATTGCATATTTTTTCCTGTTTTGTCGAAGATTATTTGGTCATAGAGTTGAGGGCCCATATCTGGGCTCTCTATTCTGTTCCATTGGTCTATATGTCTGTTTTTGTGCCAGTACCATCCTGTCTTGTGATTACTGCTGTGTAATATAGCTTGAAATTGGGCAACATGATGCCCCCAGCTTTGTTTTTCTTTTTCAACATTTCCTTGGCGATTCAGGGTCTTTTCTGATTGCATACAAATTTTAGGATTGTTTGTTCCAGCACTTTGAAAAATGTCATTGGAATTTTGATTGGGATGGCATTGAAGGTATAGATTGCTCTGGGTAGCATAGACATTTTAACAATGTTTATTCTTCTGATGCATGAGCATGGAATGTTTTTCCATCTTTTTGTGTCTTCTTCAATTTCTTTCATGAGTGTTCTGTAGTTCCTAGAATATAGATCCTTTACCTCTTTGGTTAGGTTTATTCTGAGGTGTCTTATGGGTTTTGGTGCTATTGCAAATGGAATCGTTTCTCTAATTTCTCTTTCTACAGTTGCATTGTTAGTGTATAAGAAAGCAACTGATTTCTGTGCATTTTGTATCCTGCCACATTACTGAATTGCTGTATGAGTTCTAGTAATTTGGGGGTGGAGTCTTTTGGATTTTCCACATAAAGTATCATGTCATCTGCAAAAAGAGAGTTTGACTTCTTTTTTACCAACTTGAATACCTTTTATTTCTTTTTGTTGTCTGATTGCTCTTGCTAGGACTTCTAGTACTATGTTGAACAATAGTGGCAAGAGTGAGGCCTCCAGTGTTTCTGATGAGAAGCTGTCTTACTGTTTTCCTGTATGTCATATGTCTTTTTCTTCGGCTTTTAAAGTTTTGTTTCTTTATCTTTATTTATCAGCAGTTGCACTATGTTTCTAGGTGTGGTTTTCTTCGTATTTATGCTGCTTGGGGTTCACTTATTTCCCTGGATCTGTGGATTACTGGCTCATATTGTTTCCTTTTATCAAATTTAGAAATCTTTTGGCCAGTATTTCTTCAAATATTTTTTTCTGCCCCTTTCCCTCTCTCTCCTTTTCTGAGACTACATTTACACTTATGCTAGACTTCTTAGTCCTTAGTACAGGTCATTCCAGGCTCTGTTCATTTTTTTTCAAAACTTTTTCTTTCTATACTTCAATTTGGATAATTTCTTCAGTTTGGATAGTTGAGAGCCAGTGTCTGGTAATTCCTGGAAAATCTGAACATTAACATCTTCCCAAAAGCACAGATACCCTACTAATGATTGTGGGCTATTTGGGGAAAGGTTTAGAGACATATTAGTCAAGAAGACAGAAATCACAAGATATTTTAACAGAAAGAATCTAGTATTGGGTATTGATGGGCTGAAAAAGCAAAGAGGGAACACTGCAGTAGCCCAGAGGTGATAACTGTACAGAGCAGCTACCACCCTTAGTGCAAGTGAAAAAGAGGGGTCAAGGTTGGACTATAAGGTGTCCGAAGCTCAGAGGAATGACCCAGCTGAGCTATGGCTCAGATCCCAGAAAGGATGCTGTTTATCTGGTCCTCCTCCTACTAAGAGGGATATGATGAGGCTGCTGGGGGATGGAGGAGTGCCAAAAGAAGCTCAAGGCTGAGATCAGTTGCTGCTGCTGGAGCAAAGGGGTATTGCTTATTGCTGGGGTAACAAAGACAGAAACTGCAAACAAATGGAAAGGAGGAAATCCTTTCTCCCCTTCTCCTGTCTTCTAGTCTCCCTCTAATGCCCTTTATTGATGGAACCTAGTGAGACACCAGTCAGTATAGGAAAAATATAATTTGCAAGGTCTGAGCCATAGCATCACAGAGGTAAGTACAGAAGAGTGAATTTGGAGGTAAAATAACTCAGTAACAATAACAATAGTTTAATAACCATATCAACATTTGTTGTGCTAAATTAGTAAAATTGCCCAAATTAGACCCAAATTAATGCTAACCTTATATATTTTTACCGACTTTTACACCCTTTTGAAAAGAATTTCAAGTGACCATGTTGTATCAATTTTCTGCTACACCGTGATTCCTGTTAGTGTCTTTTTTCAGGGGTAAGGAGTATCTTTACTGCAGCTCACACATATATTTGCTACAAAATTATAAACAAGGGCAGTTTTGGAAAAGATCTGTAAAACTGAGGGTAAGTAGACCCTGCCCCAACATTAAGTCTCCCACCATCAGGCACAAAATGGCATAGACTGTCAAGAATCCAGTCTTCTCCCTACTTCCATTTCCTATGCATTACCTAAGGTAGCCATAGCAAAGGGAAGAGCAATTTCCTGTTTGAAAGTAGGACAACCACTATGGTCATTGAAAAACCAGCTGTTTTCCTTTGTTCCCTCTTTCTTGCCTCAACTCAAGCTCCCTTACCCAACCTAGTAACCTCTAGTTTCTAATGTAAATAGATGACAAATCAGGGCTTGGTATTAAGCATTTCACCCTATTGTGACCTTTTCACCAATGAAGATTTTTGAATATTGAAAGATTTTTATTAAACATTTGTAGAACATTGTGCATGAACATTTTTTTAAGGCCGCAGAAGTTCCATTGGAAAGGGGTCATTTCCTCAAGTATTATGTTTTTTAGTGATGAAAGTTAACATTATCCTACCACAATTACCTTTTGTTGATAACAGTAGAGACACTAGGTTCATGGTGTTTCACATATTTAATATTTGTTTTTTAACATATTAGACTAGAATAAATTTTCTACATCTGCATATATTAATTTTATATACCACTCTGCCAGTTATACAACGCAAGACATTTATAGGTAAACATTAAAATGGCAGTGTACCTATTAATAACTAAATGTTAAGATAATAATCAAGTATTCATTTAATGGGAGAGTCTAAAATTTCCTGATAATCCTGCCTTCTTAAATTCCTCCAATAAAGTTTATAACCAGCAAGGACAAAAACACTAATCATAATGATTACCCCTCCAAAAACATCATAGACACTAGGAAATATGTGTAACACTAGAAGCTGCAAGACCATAGCCACTACAATCTCCAGGTGTTGTACTGTGCTGACCAAAGCTGGATGGAATTTGTCCAAAGCATAATAAACTCCTAAGAATGCTGCAGTGGAACAGACGCATATGGCAATAAGATAACTCCAGGTTTCTCCATCTAATGGGATGATGGGTTCTTGAAGAACAAACATAGTAGATATTCCCCAGATTGTCCCAGTCCAACCAAAGGTAAACAGTGCAGTCCACATGCTGATCTTCTCCTTAATAGATCTGTATACTATCATGGAAAGAGCAGTGGTCAGTCCAGCCATCACGGTCATAGTGTACCCAAAGGCTTCTTTCCAGGCATTTAACAAAGAATTGTCTTCATCAACAATGTTGGGGATCATGACAAGACAAACACCTAAGATGCTGCAAACAACTGTAGCCATGTCAATATAAGCCATTTTCTCATCTACAAGTAAAAAAGCCAGAATGGCACTGAAGACTGTGGTTGTGGCTCTCCACATAGTGGTCCCATTGCTGGGAGGAACTATTGAAAATGACGTATAAGCACAGGTGATAGAAATGACATTGCATACGCCATAAAAGAAGAGTCGTAATCTGTATCCACTGGGTCCAAAGGGGGCCTCCTGGTAGTAACATACAACTAACACAGATAAGACCTGCAAGACAGAACGGATAAAAATCAGCTCTAGAGACGGAACTTTAGAACGATCAGAAACAAGCCTAGTGATAAGAGCTACACATCCATGAGCCAAAGCAGATCCAAACAGCACTATCCACATTTTTCTGGATTGAAAAATATTTTTTTCTGCAAAGCTCTGGAATTGTCCAATATCATTGGTCATTGGGTCTTCTGTTGGCAGAGGTCGAGTGTCCATGGTTCCAAAGAAAGTTCTTCCTTTTCTTTTCATTTCACTCAGCAGGCCTTTCTTCGGATTTTCTTCCATAAAATTTCCATAGTCTTCATTGATTTCTTCATATCCATCATCCCCAGGCTGGGGATAATGGGAGGTATATTTCACCATCACCGTATTGGGGTGTATTTTCACCCGTTTTTTAACTGGATATTTTTTGGAGGGAGAAGTATCCATTTCTTTGATAATCAAATCTATTTAAGAAAAAAAAAGAGATAAATGTACATATTCAGTTGAAATTTAGTTTTGATTTTTATTACAATCATACACACCAATTTAATCATAGAAAGCAGAGGTTGTAAAATACCTGCATTTTTCACTCTCATCTGACACCTGCCCCTACTTCTCCTTCTGCTTATTCTTTGTCTCATTCAGCTCTGTTACTTATCTTTGCACTACAAACAACTGAAATTTTTCATTCATCTTTTCATTCCTACCTGGTTCCCCACTCATCCAATAAAAAAAAAAAACCACAGAAAAGTAAATAACAACTTAGATAAAACCTTTTCTTTTCATTGTGTTCCTCTATCTATATTATAAATTTTAAACAGGTAAGTCCAAAGTTTTTTGTATAATCACTTCTGTATAATATCACAATTAGCTTTATAGTACAAATCACAGTCTTTTTAACATTTATTCTGGACTCCTCATACATATTCAGATATATAGATAAAGATAAGAAAATAAGTGAAATGGATTTAGTGACAGTCATGCATTGTTGGTGTGTACTGCCTTTCTGATAAGCAATTGGTCAATATATTTTAAAGATTTTAACTGAAACTACCCTTTAATTTAGCAATATCACTTCTAAGATTTTATCCTAAAGATATCCTAAAGATACAATCACTTATGTGTTTAAAAAAAGGAAAAAATAATATATTTTTATATATGCTTATATAACATAAAGGAATTATGGAAAGATACAAAATAAACTAATAATTGTTAGGGTGGAACAGGGAACAAGAGTGGAAGAAAACATTTATACTATATACATTTTTGTATTTTTATTTTTGAATCACAATATTGTTCAAAAAATGAAATTACAAAACTAAAACAAGATGTTCATCTGTTAAGAAAAAGCATACAAAAGTAGAAAAAATGTCTGAGTAGGAGGGTTCACTGTAGCTTACCACAATGACACTTCATACAATGGAATACTATGCTATACATCCATTAAAAATGATGCAGATCTTTATTGACACAAATGTCCATGACATTTTGTTAAGTGGGAAAAAAGCTTGTTGTAAGGATTAAATGAGATAATGCATATAAAGAATTTGCCACAGTACTGGCATATTATGAACTCTCAGTAAATGTTAACAAGAATTCAGCTTCCTTTCTTTCACCTTTCACCTTTCTTGAAACACTGGGTATCTTCTACGTTGTTATTCTTTCTCCAAGACTTGCATTTGTTCACTCAGTTCTCTTTCCTGTTCGTTCTTTTTTTCTAAGAACAATTTCTTCTTTGATTCTTCCCCTCCCCTCTGAAAAAAAATTTAAAAAAAAAGAGTAAACCTTTTTTTTTTTTTTTTTTTCCTTATGACATACTCCCTGTCCTTGCCAAAAACTCACCAGTTCCAGGATCTTAAACCATGGTCTAGAAATCAAATCCTATTTTGTTCTTTGACACCATCTGGGTAGCCAAATGTTTCATTCCTCTTTACTCTTTTTTCTTCTAAATGACACTATCTTCAGGTGGAAGAAATCATTTTTAAAAAACACCACCTGTGCCTCCAAATTCTTCATTTTCCTAACCTGGACCTCCCACTTGCAGTCCTTCCTACATATTACTATAAAGCTAGTCTGATGTTCTTTTATTCCAATTTGTATCAAATTGTGACTTCAGCTTCAATAATCCCAAATTGAATGTCTTGGTCTCCCAAATAGATTTTCCTTCCCTAACTTAGAGTGATTTTCTTCTCAATACCTTACTGAATTTATGTTTGCAATGCCACCATTTCTCCAGTTGCCCAAGTTATAAACCAAGGAATACTCTGAAATACTCTTTCTGCTGTCACACTTCTATTTGGTAATCAATCTTATTGTTCTCATCTTTGAAATATTTCTCAGATTTTTCCTTCTCCAATTCCATTTTATCTTTGTAATTCTGGATCAGGTTATTGTTAATTCCTATTTAGAATATTGCAATAGCATCCTAACTGCCCCAATCCTTCTCCCTTAAAGTCCACCTATGTTATACCACTATCACTTTAATCTGTCTTTAAAAGATTCAAAACAAAACAAAAACTTCCCTTAAGCTTTCCCCATTTATTTTTTTCTTCCTTGTCTAACATCTGCAGTAGTTCTTCTAATTTTTGTAATCTAATAATCATTTTTAAATTGTTTAAAGATTTTATTTATCCACTTCACAGAGGGAGAGAGAGAGCACAAGCAGGTGGAGCGGGAGGGAAAGGGAGTAGCAGGCTCCCCGCTGAGCAGGGAGCCCAATACAGGGCTTGATCCCAGGACCCTGGCATCATGACCTGAGCCAAAGGCAGACACTTAACTTAGTGAGCTACCCAGGCGCCTCTAATCATTTTGTTATTTAGGTCCCTCAACTCAGTGGAGTTTCATCTCTAGTCATTGTACCCAAATTTACTATGTTAAATCTCCTTTCCTTGCTAGTCAGCGTCTTGCGGACATCTCTGTTAGAACTCATAACTTCTCATGTGCTATCCATTGTTAAAATTTTGTCTTATATCCATTCAAAGCTTTCCTGTTTCCGATTGCAGGCCAGATTTGTAGCTCCGGGGACATGGATAGGGAGAGGATGTGGTCTGCCTTTTTATTCCTCTCATTCCCTCCCTTTGGAGTCTGCGGGAGGGTGATGTAGTCTGCCTCTGGGACACCTCCTCCATCTCTCTATTCTAGGCTCCAGCTCCCCTGGTATATTGGCACAGGGAAGAAGGAAAAGGAAAGGGATGCATGTTTTATATTTGCTGTTGTTGCGTGATGGCTTTTTGATGTAGAAACTTGGCTGGGCTAAACTACATTCCCCAGTTATTTAATCAAACATTAATATAGGTGTTGCTGTGGAGGCATTTTGCAGATGTGATAAAAGTCCTTAATCAGAGGCATCTGTGTGGCTCAGTTGGTTAAGCCTCCAACTCTTAATTTCAGCTCAAGTCATGACCTCAGAGTCATGAGATTGAGCCCGCGTCCAGCTCTACACTGGGCATGGAGCCTACTTAAGATTCTCTCTCCTGCTCCCTCTGCCCCACCCCCTAACCCCCACCACTCACACATGCCCTCTCTCTCTCTCAAAAAAAAAAAAAAAAAAAAAGTCCCTAATCAGTTGGCTTTAAGTTAATCAAAAGAAAGTCTATTCTGTATGGGCCTGACCTGATTGGGTAAGCCCTTTGAAAGAGGGCTTAGGCCTGGGGCACCAGGGTGACTCAGTCTTTAAGCTCAGGTCATGGTCCCAGGGTCCTGGGATAGAGCCCTGCATGGGGCTTCCTGCTCAGCGGGAAGTCTGCTTCTCCCTCTCCCTCTCCTTCTCCCTCTCCCTCTCCCCCTGCTTGTGTTCCCTCGCTTGCTGTGTCTCTCTCTGTCAAATAAATAAATAAAATCTTGAGGCACCTGGGTGGCTCAGTCGTTAAGCGTCTGCCTTCAGCTCAGGTCATGATCCCAGGGTCCTGGGATCGAGCCCCACATCGGGCTCCCTGCTCGGCAGGAAGCCTGCTTCTCCCTCTCCCAATCCCCCTATTTGTGTTCCCTCTATTGCTGTCTCTGTCAAATAAATAAATTTTTTTTTAAAAATGAAATAAATAAATAAATTAATTAATTAATTTAAAAAATCTTAAAAAAATAAAAATAAAAGAGGGCTTAGGCCTTTCTTGAGCTTGGAGATTCCAAACAGTTGATGCCCTTGGAGTTCCAGCCTGCTCATGATCTTCTCCTTACTGCTTGTGGGCAACAAGCTTCAGCCTGTGCTTATGGGGTTCCAACATGCTCTTGATCTTCTCTTCCTGGCTGCCTGCCCTAAAGACTTCAGACTCTTTTATCTAGCCCCCACAATTATATTAGCCAATTCCTTGTAATAAATCTCTTAGTGGTTCTGGACCTCACTCTGATTAACATGTTGGAAATCACTCCTTCATTGTTGTCTTTGTTTCTCTTAACTCTGATAGATCACTGATACTCTCTAGGTTGTAGGTATCCGAATGCAGGCTATCTTGGGTAAATTTTGTAGGGCCCCCCTAGTGCATAAATCCCTGATGTGAGAGGGAGGCTAGGTCATAAAAAGTGATACAGCTATGCCTTCCTAGCTGCAATACTTTTGCTTGGAGCTCTAAGCCAACAGATAAGCAGTCTGACTGCTCTGAGGCTACCAAGGTATGAAGAAGCTCAAACTAGCCCATGTAGAGAAACCACATGGTAGCCCTTATGTAGTCCTGAGACTACATAAAGAGAGAGAAATTCTTGGCCAAACCCCTCCAGCTGCTCCAACTGTAGCCACCCATCTGACTTCAAGTATATAAGAGACCCTGAGTCAGAATCTCTCCACCAAGTCCTTCCCAAATTCCTAATCTACAGAAACTATGATAGATAATAAAATGATTGTTGTTTTAAGCTACTCAGCTTTAGAGTGATTTGTTACCTACAGTAGATAACTAGAATACCCCACTGTGCTCCTCAGTATTTTAAGGAAAGGGAAGGAATAGTGATCTCAGTGATAGTTAAAGTGAAAGTCCTCTTATTTCTGGCCCTAACTGATGGGCTTTAGAAAGTGGAACATTTTGGGGCACCAGGGTGGCTCAGTCAGTTAAGTGATCTCTACTCGGGTCTCCATCTCAGGGTCATGAGTTCAAGCCCTGTGTTGGGCTCCACACTGGGCGTGGAGCCTACCTGATAAAAAGGAAAGGAAGGAAGGAGGGAAGGGAAGGGAAGAAGGAGGAAGGGGGGAAGGAAGGAGGGCAGGAAGGAAAGGAAAGGGAAGGGAAAGGAAGGGGAAAGGAGAATGGAAAGGAAAGGAGAACATTTTGCTCTTCATTTTAGGATCATGGATGCTCATTTCAAAGTAAGAGAAAAGTTTTATTCTACATCCTGTTAGGCATACATTAGTGTATTTAATCCTAGTCCAACTGCATACTTTAAACTACTATTTGCACTGTGCAATTTCTGTTCTTTTCTGTCAATGGATTAGTCTATGACAGATATATTCCAGGTATTTCTAAACACTATTAATATTATA